CACACACACACACACACACACACACACACACACACACACACACACACAGTTGTGCAGCCCTCACCAGCATCATCTCCGGAACCTTCCCATCTTCCCCAACAGAATTTCCCTCTCCAAGAAACACTCACTTCCTGTCCCCTCCCCAGCCCCTGGCAGCCTCCACTGTACTTTCTGTCTCAGTGAGCCTGACCCCGGGACCTCCTGGGAGTGGATCACCCAGTGTTTGTCCCTGTGTGATTTCTCCTAGCAGGACGGCAGGGTTCACGTCCATCGGGTGCTGACTGAGTACGTGCATCATCTTCAGCACCCTGCATGTATGAGCTCATCTCAACTGCACACCTAAGCTACAAAAAAAAAAAAAAAAAAAAACAAAGAAGTTGGCCAGGCGTGGTGGCTCACACCTGTAATTCCAGCACTTTGGAATGCCGAGGCAGGTGGATCACCTGAGGTCAGGAGTTCGAGACCCATCTGGCCATTATGGTGAAACCCTGTCTCTACTAAAAATACAAAGTTGGCCGGGCGTGGTGGCTCATGCTTGTAATCCTAGCACTCTGGGAGGCCAAGGTGGGTGGATCACCTGAGGTCAGGAGGTCAAGACCAGCCTGGCCATCATGGTGAAATCCCATCTTTAAAAAACAAAAATACAAAGTTAACCGGGCGTGGTGGTGCGTGCCTGTAATCCCAGCTACTCGGAAGGCTGAGACAGAATTGTTGGAACTCAGGAGGCGGATGTTGCAGTGAGCCAGGATCTCACCACTGCACTCCAGGCTGCGTTACAGCGCGAGACTTGGTCTCAAAACAACAACAAAAAATAAAAAATAAAAAACAAGCCAGGTCCAGTGGCTCACACCTGTATTCCCAGCACTTTGGGAGGCCGAGGCGGGTGGATCACCTGAGGTCAGGAGTTCAAGACCATCCTGGACAACATGGTGAAACCCTATTGCTACTAAAAATACAAAAATTAGCCGGGCACGGTGGCGCACACCTGTGGTCCCAGCTACTCCGGAGGCTGAGGCAGGAGAATTGTTAGAACTCAGGAGGTGGAGGTTGCAGTGACCCAAGATCGCCCCACTGCACTCAAGCCTAGGTGACAGACTGAGGCTCTGTCTCAAAATAAAACAACAACAAAAACCAGACAAGCAGGTGTCCCGACAGAGGCCACACAGCCAGGATTCAGACCCGGGCAGCCAACCCGCAGGGCTTCACGGGGTCAGCTCTCCGCCTAGCTTCCAATCAAAGAGGAAAAAAAGCCCTCAGTTCTCACCCTCGGCCAACACCTCCCTTCGGGGTGTCCGGCCTCAGGGCTGGCTGCAGGTCACTGCACAATCAGCGCCTGGGGCGTCCTCTCCCAGACCGACCCCCTCCCATCTTCTTCCAGCCTCCTTCCCCTCCTGCCCCCACCCCCAGGCCCGCTCACCTCCTGGGTCAGGAAGGGGATAATCTGAGCGCAGATGCCACTCAGGCGCTTCACAATCTCCGCCTGGCAGGAAGGAAGGAGAGGAAGCTTGGAGCGGGGTGGACACTGGCAACCCGGCTCGAGGCTCAAGGGTTAGGGAGGCGGCGTCCGCAGGTGCACGGAGGGAACTCGGGCCAGCTAGGCATGGGCCGAGGCCGGATTCAGAGCCCCGCCAGGCTGTTTGCTCAGCTGAGCGAGGCCCGGGGTGGCCTGGAGCCGGGAAGACCCGGGCTGAGGCTGAGTGAGGTCCTATGAGTCACAGATGCACACCTGCCAGACGCACACCCACCAGGGGTCTGCAGGAGGCGGCCGCACAGACACCCCCCTCAGACACAGACACTCAGAGGCTCTGGGGTCAGCAGAAACAAAGGAAAGGGGTCTCCGCCTGGAGTCCCAGATTCCAGCGCTGGCTGGCCTCACGCCTCTCCCAGGCAAGGCCCCTCTCCTGAAGCCTCATCCGCTTCCCCGGGCTGATCTGCCCGCTGGGGATGCCTCCACGTGGAGATCTCGGCGCTCCACCTGGAAGGGTTTCATCTGGAGAGCCTCTGGGCCCAGGTGCCCCAGAGAGACTAAGCAGGGGAGAGAGCGTGTGGGTGGGGAAGGGGCGGGTATACAAAGGCCTAGCGCTTTGCCTCTGCCTGAGTTACAGGTGTGCTGTGTGCCTGGCGGGGTCTGTCTCCTCTTCCCACCAGGAGAGTGGAACCGGGATCCCAGGGTGTCTGGCACCCCATAAGAGGGTCTGTTTCAAGTACCCATGGGACAACGCCATGCTTCAGCAGACAGGCCCCCTCCCGCGCACATCAGAACAGACCAGAGCCCCCCCAGACTCAGGAAAGCATGCCAGGGTGGGTACCCCCAGGGTCCCCACACTCCCAGCCCACCCCCCTCCCCTTCCCAGCCACCAGCAAGTCCCAATACAAAGCTCTACTCATTGAATCTAATATCCTGATAGAATCTAGGAACCCACAAATCTCAGAAGCTTGGGACCCCTCTCATCCCTTTAGAAACCACTGGTCAGTCTCAGGATCTCAGGGTGAAGAATGGACCACTGAAGTCAATTTTAGAATCTTTGGGTCTATCTTGGAACCTGGGGATCATAAGTTCAGCAACAGCCTCAGGACCTTTTAACACACATCTGCACATAGATAGGACAACCTCAGACCCTTGAGGTCTATCTCAGAACCCCGAGGTCAATTTCAGAAATGTGAAGTCAACTTCAGAACCCTGAGGTCAATCTCAGAACCTGGAGATCTATCTCAGGACCTTCAGGTCACTCTCAGAACCTTGCAGTCAATCTCAGAACCCTGAGGTCTGAGGACCTTGAGGTCACTCTCAGAACCCTGAGATTAATCTCAGAAATTTGACGTCAATCTCAAAACCTTGAGGTCAATGTCAGAATCTTGAGATCTATCTCACAACTCTGAGGTCAATCTCAGGACCTTGAGGTCTATCTCAGGACCTTGATGCCAGAACCATGAGGTCAGTCTCAGAACCATGAGGTCAATCTCAGAAATCTGAAGTCAATCTCAGAAACTTGAGTTCTATCTCTGAATCTTGAGGTCAATCTCAGAACCATGGATCACACCAAGAAGCTTAGGAAGAGGTTCAGAACCTCATGGCACTGGGGTCAATTTCAAAGCCGTGAAGACAGCCACAGAGTTTTGAGGTCTCTCTTGGAATAATGAGGTCACACTCTAAACCACAGCATCAAATTCATGGCCTGGAGAACAATCTCGGAACCTTCCAGCCAATCCCACGGAGATCAATCTCAGAAGCTTCAAAACAGCAACAGAACCTGGGGTCCATCTGAAAACTTCAGACTCTCTGGGCTGAAAAGGACCTCTAAGAGTGGCCATCCAGCCCCCTTCTGGGACAGAAATCATCTCCACAACCTCCCTGGCCTGGCTGCCCTGCCTCTGCCACGTGCCCTCCTTGATGGGGATGCCTGGTGGCCCCTGCCCGCTGCCTGCCTCTCTGCTGGACGGCTCCAACTGAGAGACATTGTCTTCAGAGGTTGAGACTCATTTTCCTCTCAGGAGGCTGAAATCTGTCCTCCTGGCCCCAGTTGGGCCCTCTGCGACCTCTGCAGAGATTTCGGGATGAGACCCCTGTTCCCTAGGTGTGCTCTGGCCCTGCTGCCCACACTGGGTCCCTCCTGTGGCTTCCAGACCCCCCACCCTCCCTCCTGAACACACCTAACCCCAACCCGGTTACCTGCTTATGCATTTCAATGTTGAGTCCATAAGACATCTCATAATACTGCAAAGGAGAAACCAAGTGAGAACGTCTGTGGTGGAAATGGGCGTCCTCCTGGAGACAGGCGATGCCAGGGTCTTCCAAGAGCCCCCCAGGCTGCAGAGATCACAGCAGGACCGCAGAGCCCCCCAGCTCCATGGGGTCCCAGAGGAGGAAGCAGGGGCTCTGCCTGGAAGGGCCCCCTCTACCCTCCCCAGAGAGGTGGGGCAGGGAGAAGTGACCACAGGCCCTGGCCGCACAGATGCCCAATCAGGCGAGGGGTCCTCCCTGCCTCACTGTTCTCAGGGCTGGGGGGGCCCTCCGAGAGAGCGAGCGTGAAATCCCAATCAGCCCAACAGACAGACAGGGAAGACGAGGCTGGGAGTGGGGCCGGGACCTCCCCCTGAGTCCACCGCCACTCAAAGCCCTGCCCGCGTCTCCCCCGCGTCTCCCGGCTCCTGGCACCCTGAGTGCCCTCACCATCACATAATGTCTCTGCATTTCCGTCTTCTCGCTGGCCAGCTTCTCACATTCTAGCTTGAGGCTGGGAAGGAGAGGGAGGGCAAGGGGCTGCCACCCGCCGCGCGTGGGCCGGCTTCCAAAGTGAGGGACTCATCTCCCCATCCCCCCACCTCCCGTCCCGGTCCCTCCCCGCCCCTTCCCGGGCTCCCAGTGCCCCAGCTCTGACGGTCCCCAAACCCCTCTGCACCTGCGCTTCCACCTGGAGGCCTTTCCCGCGCCCCCTCCCCGGAGGCCCGGCGCCCAGGTGAACTCCCGCGGGCCCCGGGGCGCCCCCTCACCTGTGGTACTGAGCCTGGAGAAACTGGAATTCTTCTTTGATGCGGTCGCAGATCTCCAAGATCGAGAACTTGAAGGGCTGGCCGGACTGGAGCGGGGTCTGGGGGGGGATTGGAGAGGGGGGACGTCAGGGTCTGAGTTCCCGGACCCCGGGGGGCCCCCTCCCCGCAGCCCCCCACTCACCGGGTGCCTTCCCTGGGGGTACATCCTGCCGATCCGAGAAGCCCCCCCAGTGCCACCGGAGCTTGAGGATATGGAGGCGGCAAGAGTGGGGGAGGCTGAAGTGGGGGGGGGGCGCTGCCCGAAGAAAGAGGGAGGAGGGCGAGACGGCGCGGGGCAGGGGACCCGGGAGTCCCTGGCGCCCCCCGCCAAGCGCGGGGTCG